AGCTATTACTCACACTTAACAAGAAAGAAAACGTTAATCTACCTCTCTACCCCCACTGCGTTCTGAGAATATGTGTGTGAGAGAGAGAGAGAAGGAAAAAAAAAGTAGTAGTCAGTTAATCTCCTCAAGATCATAATAGTCTAAAGGGGAAGAGTCTAAGAGGCTCTTCTGTATTACAGGAAGAGCAAATTAGTTCTTTTTTAATGCTGAAGGAGGGAGAAGTAACAATGTACCTTATTCTGTTTGGGGTTTGATTTCTTTCTTTAACACGTGAATCTCTGCAGCTTGAGCTCCCTGCAGCACAAGGCTGTAAGTTTTTATAAATTGTCTGTTTAATGATAAATCTTAAAACTAGAGCAACTCGGGGACGAAACAAACAAACAAAAAAAATCTGATATAAAGGCTGTTCCATAGTGATCGCAGTCAAAATACTTGGGAAGAACTGCAGCATCAGGCAGAATCACAAACAGTAAATCGCCAGTCGCATTTTAAACCAGATTCCAAGTTTTCAGAGAATCTTAAGGAAAAAAAACCCTTTGGTCTACAATCTCTGAATTCAAGGTTGTCTTTGTTTCTTACCACTGATTTCTTTCCACGCTTGAAATATCACTCCACACATTTCTATGCATCATTCCCTTTATCCTCCCATAATGCTATCTGGATCCTCCCGACTGTTAAACAAATCTGCGTGTTCTAATTGTCTAACGAGACTAAGACACTGAAAAATGAGATGTTTTCAAAAGGAGAAGACGACCTTCCGTCATTTAAACGCACGTTCAGTTAAGCAGGATTAGAGTCTTATCTAAGGACACGGCAAATTGAAGTCCTGCAAGAGCAGAGAGCACCCGCAGCTGACAGCAGAAGGTCCCCAGCAAGCAGCACTACTTTTTCCCCCCATCAGTCGGAGAAAGAAAAGCCCATTGTGCCGTGCCAGCGGGGAGGACGAGCGTGGGTCTCGAAGCCATCATGGCACTGCCTGAAAAGGCAGAAGCCGCCGGCATGCCAGCGAGCTGAGGGGCCTGGGGCTGAGGGACTTTCTGTCCCTTTGTCCTCAGAGCCAGGCGACCGCTGGCATGCTGTCCCCCTGCAGCAGTGCTCAGCTACGAGCAGGTACCTTAATTCCTTCCCCCTCAGTTTGAGTAAAGCAGCTAAGGTAGCATCCTGACTCCGAGCCCGCGGTGGGGGCAGGGGAAGGAGCCCAGCTGCTTGGAAAGCAATCTGTCACCGCACACACGCCGGCAAAGACGTTTCAGGCTAAAATAATTCATTTTAATACGGTTTTGCGAATGGCAATTGCCAAACACCGCGGCATGATGCAGAAATATTTTAGCATTAAGGGCACCTGCATCAAGAGGATATTTCAGTAGATTTGAGGACTTTAAATCTTTTTAGGAAAGGCAGGCGAAGGGGAGCGTGGGGTGCGGGAGGCAGAGCCAGCTGCAGCGTGAGCTGGCTGCAGCCCCTGCTCCGCTGGCACAGCTTGCTGGAGTCAGTGACACTGGCATGCTCCTCTGATTTCTCCCCGCCATTTAACTTAAGCATCATAAATGAATCAGTGTACTTTCGTGGCAAGGTTAGCCCCCTCGTTAGGGCTTCTCAGGAATTCCTGTTTAACGGAAAAAAGAAAAAAGAAAATAAAATAAAATACAACTCTCCACCCTGTTCCTGACCCTTTTAGGAAGCGGAGGCAGGGAAAGCAGCACCGCCAGCTCCCGTTCCCCTTCAGGGTGACATTACGTGGTGCGATCGCATCCTTCCGTACATCGCCCTCCACGGTAGCACTTACTAACAGGCTGTAGAAAAATCCTACCGAAAGATCTGCAGGACTCATAAGTAGTATGAAAACATGATCCATCCTAAGGGAAGGAGCGAGGGAGAGCGGGAGGGAGCAGGAGAGGGAGGGCAGAGACTGTCATCATCCCCGAAGTGATGTAAGCTTCTAAATATAGCACCAGCAATACAGAAGGAACAATAAAAAGGCACCATGGATTCAATTTCTCCAGCGCTTTCGCACTACCCCAACCATTTTTTTATTTTTTTTTTTTTTTTCAGCTGTTGTGTTAAGCACAGACAGGTCATCTCCTATTTGCAGCGATTCAGATTTATAGGGTTTATAATA